AAACAAATCTCTGTTGTAGTGGTGCTGGTTGCCTGTTATTTTGGATATGGTAATGAATGCATTGTAGATTTTTCTAAACATCAAACATTTTCATTGAGGACCAGTCTGCATTCTGTGTTCTTCATATTCATTTTCATTATGTTGTAGCAGGGGATTCTGCACCGATCTCCTAAAAGAAATAAATTAGCTTGTGCCTGGTCTTCTATGGACATATGTCATTAAATAATGCCTGTGGTCTATAAGACAAATAATGCCTCCTTTGCAGCCTTTTGTGGAGTGGGCTTTACCCTCTGATAACGGTGAAAGCAGTGGGATTTGTAGCAATTGGATAATAACCTTTTTAACCGCTTAGGAAATCAGAGTTTAAAGGAGGCCCTCCCTTGTTCATGTGTAAAGTCTTCAGGGCCCAGGGCCTATACCTACAGACGCTCCCTTTCCTCTCACTTTAAAATACGTGCTCGGGGTACAAAGGAGAAACCGTGAGAATGAATGTGGATCTAATGAGACCCCCTCTCTTCCCGCCCTGCAGGTTGGTCGTGCGTAAAAGTGCGTAAAGACGAGTTCTTTTCCAATGAGCAGGGCCGCCATATCTGTCAGCAGCGCCAGTGGCTGACGTTAGATTATTATTTTATCAATCAGAAAAATTAGAGAAAGGTCACTTTTCTGGTCTTATTGAAATACATGATCATTGACATATATTTTAAAATGCCTCATAAAGACGAGCCATCATTCCTCGCTGCATTTACAAGTGTTTCACTGAGATACACTTAGTTAGATTCCATCTTTAAGACACACATATACTTAGTTCCCTGGCCCATATATGCTTCACACAGTGGGTAATATCTGATTATCTAGTCTTTGGCAGATCGGAAACCAATAACAGGAGCGCGAGAGGTGGAGGATGCAGGAGACAGAGGAGGGAGGGGAGGAAGAAGGAGAGAGATGTGACCTCACATGGCATATAGCCTACATCCATTCTGACCTCAGGAGCCCCATCATATAATACAGGCCGTGTGTTCTGCAGCCTGACAGATGACAGACTGCTCTTTACTTGCGTTATCATCGCGCCAAATGATTACCAATATGTCCGTGTGATTACAGGCCTGTGAGTGGGAGAGCCACATGCAGCCAGCGCGTGCTCGCCCGCTCGGTTACGCAGTGGAGTCCACAATGGTTCACCCTCAACTCTATATATTTTATTTATTAGTAACGACTTTTATAAAAGCAAACCAAAAAAACTTAAGAAGAGATACGGGAGCATTCTCATTATGTTTACAGTCAGCGGGCGTGTAATAAACGAGCTGGTGGAGTTAACATGCGCTATTAATTTTTCATTGCTTTTTCGTTTCGAGGCTCGGGCGCGAAAAAAAAAAAGAAGAGAAGAAGCAAAACAGCCGAAGCTTTCACGGAGGATGGAGGGAAAGAGGGAAAAGTAGATGAAGAAGGAAAGAAAGATGGGGCACTTCAAAAACATCAACAACAACACTGCCTCCAATTTGCCTCCAAATCATTATCACGACTCTAACGCGTTTTTACTAATGTTTTTAAAGAAAGTATAAACACACACACACTCACACACACCCTTTCTCTCCCTCTGCACCCCCACGTCCTCCCCCATTTGCAGCACTGCAGAGGTAATGAAATATGGTAATGGTTTTGGACCCCCGGATTAAAGTCGTCCCACCCTGATGGAAGTTTTCCTCAAATTTCCAACCCTAAAGCAACAACAATTTGTATACATGATTGATTGTGTTTGGATTTTTTAATTGCTCATGTATTTAATTTGCAAATCGTGGAGACAAGGGCGCACGGCTGCAATTGACTTCTGTGGCAAAGAGGAGCGTTCGCTTCTGTATCTACATAAATAAAACCCGAGTCTGACTGCACAAGGAGAACGAAAACAATGAGAGGGAGAAAACAAAGCAATAAAAACTAAATTCTGCAATTTCATATGGTCATGCGTGTGAGGTAGAGTCTCTGTTTAAAGACCCCAAGAGCCAATTTCCATTTCTTACTTGAAATCTTTTAGAAAAAATGATTATAAATCTATATATTGAATTATGTTTATAAAAGATAGAGAGCATCCAACAGATCTCACAGTTTGTTGATTTTTGCAGCAGTGTCTCTCACAGACATTGCCATCATCCATATTCGCCTAATCTGGCCTAAATTCAGGCCTGTGTCTTTGTCGATTGATCCAACTCTGTATATTCGAGTTTCTGTTTCTTAAGCACATCTGGGCTCTTTTGTTCTATTATTTTTTCTAATTTAGAAAAATATAAAAACAAAAAATCAATCTCGTTTGCTGTCTGTCAGATTTGTATGAAGCCCAATTCATGAATACTCAAGAAACAGATGTGAAATATGAATGAGGATTATGTGCGGATGCTTCGAGGTGTACTTTACTGTCAGTGGATTAAAGAGCAGGGACGTGGAGTCAATGAAGATTCATGAAGCCATATTTAGTGTTGGAGATGTGGGCTGAGAAATGAAGTGGATCGTTTAACAGCCAAAATACCACATATGTACTGATCCTGTGTTTCAATATGTTTAAACTACAGTTTGGAGTCTTGTCCTTGGGCCTCATGAGTCAAAATATGTTGGTGGTAAAGTTTATGCACGTGCATTTGTTCGTGTGTGTGTGTGTCCGTGTGCACATGCGCGTGCGTGAGGGCATGTGGCCCCAAGGTTGAACGCCCCCTCGTGGTTTGTTCGGCAAACATCCACAATATACGACAGAGAGCAGATTTTAAACCTCCCAGATTTCTGAGATTAATTGAACAGGAAACTAAAGACCACAAGTTAGTAGAGAGTTAGTGTTTGTTTCATGGAAGTCAACCCAACAGCGTGAATACACCTGATGCATTTGGATTTACGACATTTGAACTAGTCCGTAAGTCTGAGGGCAGAAGAGCTCACTGTGATAGGAAACCAATAATGCAAAGCGAGAAATCCTGGCTAAAAATTAAATAAACTCAATAACATCATGCATTGACCTTTTCAGGATCAGATGCATTGCCTTGAGGTACATCAAGCCTGTTGGTCTGTCGAGGATGAAAACTGGGCAGAATAAAGTAAATATTGTTGTTGTTCATTAGTGTGCTACTGCAAATCACAGCGTCCTAAATGAAACTGTAAGTAGGGGTGAGATCTTTAATGATCCTGTCATTATAGGTGTAAGAATCAGGTGATTATTTCTGTCCTGTAATGTCTCCAAACGTGTTAGATGCACAGCGTAAACAGCGAGGAACAAAAATGATTAAATGTCTAGAAAGAGGAAGAAGGGAAATAACACTTTTTTTAATTTGGCTCATGCTTTAGGCTATTTGCGTGGTTAATATTACAGGGGCGAGGCTGAGATATGCCCTCTGAAATCAGGTGGGACGAAACATGTATTGAACCCCCCACCCCCTCTCAGTTTGGAGTGTGAATGCGGAGCTCGCCAATTGCATTTCATTAAAACCACATCCGCTCGGATCCGCAATCAATTAGGTAATGAGTGGGAATGCATGTTTCATGTGTCTCCTCCCGGTTCTTCCTCGGAGCTAAACAGTCATATAACTGCGTGTAGGAGGAATGATCGAAACGATGCAGAGCCAATTGTTGACAGCTCTCCCTCCTGCAGGCCCATAAAGATGAGTGAAGAACAAACACCTCCTGATCTTTGACTGAAAATGTCACTGAAGTGTTTTACCACAACACTCCATGCCTTTAAAACCAGTATTTTTCGTTTATATATTATCACTTCTACTTGTTTGACCTAATCAAGAAAAAAAAAGATGATTTCTGTTCGAGTCACTGAGCAGCCCCTCTTTTTATAAAACCTTGCTGCAACTAAGCCTCATTTTAGGTAATACTCGATTAATTATCCATTTAATATTGACATGAATAAATTGAGCGCAAACGGGTATAAAGGCATTAGCTTTTTTACTTGGTTAATTGAAATTAAACATATGATCATCCACTCCCCGAGCCCCGCTGTCGCACCGCCGCGCCTCCCCCATTGGTGGACGGACAATGCGTGCGGGGCGTCATTGGCCCACGGGATTCGCATCAGCCTATCGCCGTCGCCCCCCGCCCGGTTCTAGCAGGGGCCGGCGGTGACGTGTCGGCAGCGCTCGCCTCCTGATTGGCTGAGCTTGACGTGAGTGACGGGCAGCTGGCCGGCGCGTGGAGCTTAGGGTTCCAGGGGGCTGGGAGCGCGGGCGCTGTCCGCACGAGAGCAGGTCCTGAAACGCGGCGTGTGCGCCACCGAGGACGCGTCAGGGCGCAGGCAGCTGAGTTGAAGAAGCGCGCGTGTGTGTGCGCAAATCCACACCGCTGCGTTGGTGTTTCCTGGCGTGAGCGCGGAGGAAAGTCGCCTCTGAATCTGGACGGGACTGTTTTCCTTTCAGGCGAGAAGAAATTCTGATCTCAAAACTCCCAGACACCCGAGGAGAGTCCCGAGGCTGCGCTGGTGCGTCTAGACGAGGAGAGAAGAGAGAGCAGGATAAAAACTCTCCACTCAGCCTCTGTTGCTATAATCCACAATCCTGTTTTCGTTTATTTTCCTGCTGCGTAATTTTCTGCCTTTCTTTCCTTTTTCTTTTCTTTTTTTCTTCCTGTTCTGGCATGGTGGATATGAGACTTCAAAGATGTGAGCGCTCACTCGCTTCACTGATGGGAGATTTATCAAGTGTCAGTGTGAGAGCAGCAGCAGCCGAGGACGATGTGCGCAAATAACCTGGAAGAAAAAAAACCAAACGAGGATCTGTAACGAATATTTTTGTTGTTTAAAAAAAATAGGATTTTTTTTTTCCTGCTATTTTTTCCTGCTATTTTTTGACAGACTGAAAGGAGAAACTTCACCCCCCCCCCCCCTTTCCCCACCATCACAGTTCAGGGGTCACAGCCAGCGGACCGAGAAGGAGACAGGGAGGGAACCTATACTTTTTTATTTTTTTGGCTTGCATGCATATTTTTTAATTCTTTTATTTTTGCAGAACTTTTACATTTTCACATGCCTGGACTGGTACAATGAGCTCCATCGCTGTCTCTCCCCTCCTCTGGTTGTGTGGACGCCGGGACAGAGCAGCTGTGGTGTCCCGACCCCAGGAGGAGGGAGCCCGGCACTGATGCGTATTTTTGACGCCGTCCACCCACAAAGCTTCCGTTTTAATTCGAGATAAAGTCGCCTGTGAGCAGCGTGACTCCATCCCTCAACTGAAGCTTCATCTTTTTAATCAACCAAGAAAAGAAAAGTTGAATTTCTCTTGAAGGGGGCCGGTCGCCTGCCTTTTCCCCTGTAACGGAGGTCAGGGTCTGCGGGCCGTCCGGTGGTATTTTAAGAGCCCTTACATCTTACCGGGGCCCTGCAGCCCCTCCTTACATGATGGAGATTCACTGTAAGCACGACCCGTTTGCAGCAATGCACAGTAAGTTTAAGCGTTTATAATTTCTTCAATATGCATGTTCCCATGATCTGCCCTGAACTCAACCAACCCCCTGACCAGCAACTCTGCCTGTGCGCATTTTGAGGGAATAACAGTGGAGAGCAGCATTTAAAGCTGCTGGGCGCTGCACACAAAAAAGCCTACATCCCTCCTCCAAGTCTTGAAGTCTGTTTGAAATCTTTTTATTCATTAATCTGCTGAAATCACACAATTCTGCTACAGCGTTGAAATAATGCGCATGAGCACATCAGCCTGCTCCAACATTTAAATCAAGTTTTTAATATTGGATAATTAATATTAAAATTATAATGCTGTGATTTATTAGAAAATATTTTGAAACACGTGAAAAGGAACAATCTCTTCTTGTATTGGCTCAAAAATAAATAATTAATAACTTCATCAGAGAAGGATTTTTTCTGCAGTGATTTAAATCGGGATAAATTCAAAACTTAAAGCCTGAATCATGTTGTGAGTTATTATCTTTTCATTTTCGATTCATCGTTCCACTAGATTTTCTTAAACGTCTCGTCTCTTATTATTCAATAAATGTGCACATGTCGAACAGAAGTAAATTGACAGAATTACTTGTGGAGCGGAAGTGATTTTATTTTAAATTGTGAAATGCATTGCAATGCTGCAGGACTGCATTCTGTCATATGTGTTGTGTGTTGACGGTCTGCTGTGTTTTCCTGTTTGAAGGAGAGAGGAGGCGCAGGGGTCAGAGAGAGAGAGAGACAGTGAGAGAGAGAGGGGGGGGGGGAGAGGTTGGGTTAACAAAGCATGACTAAAAGCTGAACTTGATCCACAAACAGCGGCGGTGTTTGTGCACATAACCAGGTTTAGACAGACAAATACACATGCACAGGTGCAGGAGCAGAGCTGCCCGGGTCTTATAATAATAACAAGGTGAGCCTCTGTTGATCCCCCGCAGGGAAATTCTCCTTTCACTGCCCAGCAGGACACACACACACACACACA